TAGCTGGTTAAAATTGTAGTGCTTGATTTAAAGGTCTCCTATCATTGCCAATGTGTACTTAAATATTTTAATATAATTGAAAATTCTTCCATTGCTTTCAAAATACAATGCATTTTTGAGGTTGCTGAACAATGTACAATTTTTATGAGTGCATTAGGTTTAAAGCAAAGAAGTGTAGTATGCAGAATTTAAATGTATAGTTTTATGCCAAAATAAATTGAAAATAATTGCCACCAGTGCTTTTTTAAGACTCAAATGTTTCCATACTTGCTTCCCTAACCTTTGAAATGTACATTTCCCAGACCTTATGGAAGTGGGGTCTTGTTTCATTACAGGAGTTGTCTGATTTTGAAAAAAAACAACATTTCCTTACAAATATATCTAGTATTTTACATCAAGTCTGGATTTTTGGTTCAATGGACGACTTTAACCTTTCGTTGTAGTTTTGAAGGTAATTAATAACAATAATAATAATAATCCTTGCATTTTATATAGCTCTTTTCATGTCTTCTAGACGTCTCAAAGCACTTCACAGAATATACTGTAAAGTGAATTGACTGTATATTTGTGGACGAAACCCGGCAGCCAATTACGCACAGCAGTGTTCCACCAACACTCGTGGATTGAAGTGACCAATTTTTATTATTGTTTATTTTTCTTGAGGGATTATTGTTAGGCGTGTGGAGTAAGGAAACTTGCCCAAGATTTCACCCCGTCGGGAATCAAACTCAGGTCTCTTGCTTGTGAGGCGAGTGCTCTAACCACTGAGCTACAGGACTCCACAATTATGTGCACGAAGCACTTCTTTGTTCTTGATTTTTTTCCTCTCCTTCAAGCCAATGATTTATTCTGAGATGCGGTTCAATGGAAAACATCCACACTGCTGTATCACATCCAAGTGTTTTTTCTTTATCTTTGACTCGACAGTGAATACTGTCAGGCTATTCTATCATGGAGTGGTGCAAACAAGCACTATTCTCATACAACGATAGGTATACATCACTTTAAAGCGGTTTGGAAAAAGTAAACCCAGAACAATACTTTCAGATGTTTGAAGTCAGTAGAACAAGAGGACGTAGGTCTAGAGTTGCAAAGCGCAATTTCAGGACAGATCCCCAGAAGTACTTCACTACCCAGAGGGATGATTAGTGATTGGAACAGGTTACCAGGAAGGCTAGGAAACTGGACACATAAGAAGCGTGTTGCTGTGATGGGAAGTTGGGATGGAGGGTATTCTGGAAGGATAAGAACAAATGGGTTTTAAGGACTTTCTTCATCCAAATTTCTCTTGTGATCTTGTGCCATTCAATCTGTATTTTCTAGCAGGGAATTACTGGACCAGGGGGTGGAAATCCTGACAAGTTATTTTCCCTTGTCATTCTCGTTTGGTTAATTTGTTTAAAAAAAAAATTCTTGTTAGAAAAATAGAGGGGAGGGGAGGTTAAGAACAGAATTCATGTGATGAGAATTTTTACTGATCTCACATTAACTCTAACTATTTCAGCCACCATCTTCTTTAAGACATTTTACAATTTCTCCTGTTCGTTTGAGGAATGTGCTCATTTGTTTGTTTCTTAGTTCTCCCCCCTTCCCCCTCACCGTACCTTATCTTTACATCTAGCCCCTATTGGTTTGTGCTGCAGGTGTTAGTAAATATTTTACACTCAGTTTGGCAGTGTGTATTTTCCTCCGCACAACAATTTGTGATGACTCTTTGATCTTTCTGATAATATTCTTAATAATCCCCTTTTGCTTCCTTTTCATCATTGCTTCTTTCAGTCAGTGACTCTATCAGCACTGCTGGGTTTAGAGATAAGGAGTCTGTAATTAGCATTGAGCGATGATGTTCATCGTGGACACTTCGATGAGGAACAGGAATGCTGTTTTGCTCGTGTAGTTTTGCAGTTCCCTCTTTAAGATGAGAGTTAACATAATATAACATGTAGTCAGCATTCTACACATGATGCAGACATTTACAACCCATAAATATGTCAGATGTGAATGATGGTGTCACAAATTCCATGGGTGAAGCCTTTGAAAAACATCTAGGTTTTTGCTCTTTGGTGATAAATTATGATATGCGACTGAGCAACAAAGAGAGGAAGGAAAATAATTGAAAGACGTGTTACATAGAAACACCGGAGTAGGCCATTCAGCCTCTCGAGCATGTTCCACCTTTCCATAAGATCATGGCTGATCTGTACCTCAACTCCAATTACCTGCCCTTGCCCCATATCCCTTGATACCCTGACCTAACAAATACCTATCCACCTCAGTCTTGTTCAAGTAGAACATAATGTTTGCAATTACAGTGTGAAAAAGTGATGACATTTCTTAATTATGATTAGCATTAGCTTTTAGGTGAGGCTAAAGAAAATATTCCTGTGGTTTGAAATTTAATTGCAGTGTAGGCAAGTAAATAGTTTGAGGCACGTGTTTTCCAATAAGGATCGGATTGGTTCAAAAGCATTCCTCGATCAACTCAGTGCTCAGCCCAACCTGGCTGCTGTCCTGCTCAAGAACAGTTCAAAACTGCATGTTTACCTCGGTTTTAATATGCTCAGATCCATATTAGAGTTCAGCTCCACTGATTTTTTTATACAGCCTTCACATCGAGAGAATGTCTCAAAGTGTTTCACAGGATTTACTGCAATGCGTAGTGACTGTATTTTGTCGGGAAATGCGACATTCCCAAGAGCAGCCTTTATTTACACTGTATGGTGAAAACCTGATTTTGACTTGGATTAAACTATACCAGAGATAGGGTTTTGTGCCTATTCCCTGTGGAAAAATAGCCTGTTCTCAATCAGTATGAGAGCAGTTGTTGAATAATGTTTGTTAATTACCAGTTGTTTCAATTGCCAAAGATCATCTAGTTGAGGAGAGTTTAAATCTTCCACTGTTCATACTTTGCCATAATTATTGCTAAGAAAAACAATGACAGCAATGAAAAAGCACATGGAGTGCAATGGACAAGACTGTTCTATTTTTCATGGCTGTTCCACACGCGATCTATGATAAACTGTGTAGATTTTGGTCCACGAGGTTGGGAAACTCCCAATCTTTGCATTTGATTTCACATAAATGTTGAGGGAAACCTATTGCCCCACGAATATATTCCCTCAATGCAAATTGAAATGTAGTTAACCCTCTTCTTTTTAATCTGACAAAACATCAAGCTCCAGCAAGATGCTCAGTAAAATTAAAACAGACACGCTCTCAGGCCCTGGAGAATTGTACATTTTCCTCCAAGTTTAAAAAAAGACGCGCAGAGCAGTCTTACTTTGATGATTTATGGTCGCTGTCTGTCTGGAATCACTGGGGAACAATTCATACATTGTACTGAACCAAGACCTGCAAAGGCCCCTCTTTTCCTGCTGCTGTGAAGATGTATTTTTCCATAACATTCCACGGAGGCTTTAGCTCCTCTACGCCTGAACAATGGAGAGAGTGCACCATCTGCTCGTCCATGTAGTGTATTATAATGGAGCACCACAGCAGTGTTTATCTTGGAATTAAAGAAAGGGAAGGATGAAGGAATGGGATATTTCATTTGGAAAATGTCTCCATCTGCTGGGGGTTAATGGGACAGTAATGTTAATTTGAGTGCCTTCAGGTTAATGTACAGTAATTTTAATTGATTGTTATGCCAGACAAAATAATATGAAACAATGCTCGGAGGGAACACTGTTAATTACAACATGGTACAGCACTTAACACATTTCAACCGGGTTCGAAATATAGTCATTTGCTCTTACCATTAGCATTCAGAATGATTTAGCCAAACATGACAATTACTGTATACCCGAACTAAATTATATGAAAAACACGTTATTCTCTCCCCCCACCGCCCCCCCCCAAAAAAAAAATAATTTAACCATCTGCATGCACATTATTCCATGTGTCTCCCTGTTTAAAAAAATAATGCAGAATTTCAGTTTGCAGCCCCCTCTATGCCCTCAAACAAGTCTCTTGAGACGTAGGTCCAGGTTGCTGGATGTCTTCATTGATAATAATAATAATAATCCTTGCATTTGATATATGCACAAAGTCTTTTGCCCCAGGGCTACAGTGGCTGTTTCCGTGCTGTTAAAATTACCGTGGCTGTGCTGTTGCGGTTATGCTGTTATTATTACAATAATAATCAATAATTATTATGTAATTAATAATAAGAAGAATCCTCGCATTTGATACGGCGCCTTATCACGTCTTCGAGACGTCTCAAGGCGCTTCACGGGATATACCGTAAAGTGAATCGACTGTATATTTGCGGGAGAAATAGCAGTGAGCCCCCCCCACACAGAGCAGTACCCCCCCCCACCCCCCACACACACACAGAGCAGTACCCCCCACACACACACACAGAGCAGTACCCCCCACACACAGAGCAGTACCCCCCCCCCACACACACAGAGCAGTACCCCCCCACACACACACACAGAGCAGTACCCCCCCCACACACAGAGCAGTACCCCCCCACACACACAGAGCAGTACCCCCCACACACAGAGCAGTACCCCCCCACACACACACACAGAGCAGTACCCCCCCCACACACACACAGAGCAGAACCCCCACACACACACACACAGAGCAGTACCCCCCCCACCCCCCCCCACACACACACACAGAGCAGTACCCCCCCACCCCCCCCCCCACACACACACAGAGCAGTACCCCCCCCCACACACACACACAGAGCAGTACCCCCCCACCCACACACACAGAGCAGTACCCCCCCACCCACACACAGAGCAGTACCCCCCACCCCCACACAGAGCAGTACACCCCCCCCACACACACACACACACAGAGCAGTACCCCCCCCCCACACACAGAGCAGTACCCCCCCCCCACACACACACACACAGCAGTGCTCTCCCACACACTGTGGTGGATTGAGTGACCGAAGTCTCGGTGCTGCAGTTGCGCTGCCTGTGCGCAGGGGGCGCTGTGGGGGGAGCGGGCCGGGCCCGGGGCCGGGGCCGGGCGGTGTGGGGCCGGGCCGCTGATTTCCGGGGTTGCCTGCGGTGCGGGTGCGGGTTGCGGTGCGGGTGGATTGGGCGGCGCTGTTCCTCCCAACGGCTGGACATGGCCCCGGGAGCGGATGGCGGCTGAGAGATGCGGATTTGCTGCGAGGTACCGTCCCCCTGACTCTGCCCCTGTCTCTGTGTGAGGGTCTGTGTGTGTGAGGGTCTGTGTGTGTGAGGGTCTGTGTGAGGGTCTCTGCCCCTGTCCCGGGGTCTGTGTGTGTGAGGGTCTGTGGTGTGTGTGTATGAGGGTCTGTGTGTGTGAGGGTCTGTGTGTGTGAGAGTGTGTGTGAGTGAGGGTCTGTGTGTCTGTGTGTGAGGGTCTGTGTGTGTGAGGGTCTGTGTGTCTGTGTGTGAGGGTCTGTGTGTGTGAGGGTCTGTGTGTGTGAGGGTCTGTGTGTGTGAGGGTCTGTGTGTGTGAGGGTCTGTGTGTGAGGGTCCTGTGTGTGTGAGGGTCTGTGTGTGTGAGGGTCTGTGTGTGTGAGGGTCTGTGTGTGTGTGTGTGTGAGAGAGAGTGTGTGTGAGGGTCTGTGTGTGTGAGGGTCTGTGTGTGTGAGGGTCTGTGTGTGTGAGGGTCTGTGTGTGTGAGGGTCTGTGTGTGTGAGGGTCTGTGTGTGTGAGGGTCTGTGTGTGTGAGGGTGTGTGTGAGGGTGTGAGTGTGTGTGTGAGGGTGTGTGTGAGGGTCTGTGTGTGTGAGGGTCTGTGTGTGTGAGGGTCTGTGTGTGAGGGTCTGTGTGAGTGAGTGTAGTGTGTGTGAGGGTCTGTGTGTGTGAGGGTCTGTGTGTGAGTGTAGTGTGTGTGTGAGAGAGAGTGTGTGTGAGGGTCTGTGTGTGAGGGTCTGTGTGTGAGTGTAGTGTGTGTGTATGTGTTCCAGGGGCTCCCAGGCTCTACACACACTCTCTCACTCACACACACACCCATTAGCTGCAGAGTGTCCCAGTAAAATATGCTTTCAAACCTCTGTCATCACACACTCTCTCTTTCTCTGATTGACCAATATATCTAACCCCCTCCCTATACATGTCGGGTAACTATGGTTAAATATCATACCTGGTTAAATAATAATGATGTGTATGTATATATATGTGTGTGTAGTTACTTTATGGATAATAATAATAATAATCCTTGCAATCCTCGCATTTGATACAGCACCTTATTATGTCGTTGAGATGTCTGAAGCTCTTCACAGAATATATTGTAAAGAGGATTGACTTTTTGGCTGAATTGTCCAGATATAATGTAGTATATCTGTAATACATAAGATGATTATATCATATACAACATTATGTTATGATTATAATATATAATACTTTACAACATAGGCTGCAAAGGACTTTGAGACGTCTCAAGAAAGTGATAAGGCACAACATCAAGTGCAACAATGATTTATTTTATCTGATTAAATTATTCTAATATGGTTATTGTAATATGGCTAATTAACGGTTAAATATTAAACACCTGATTAAGTACAACATCTGACTTACATGTTATGATCACATGCTTTTGATATGTAATGTGATTAAATATTATTATGTTTTAATAATCTGATGGGACTGGAAATACTAGCCAGAACTTGACTGAGCTACTTACCTCTACTGCCATGTTATGTTTCTGTATGTGCTATTGAAACATTTTTTTTACGAAGATAAAGAGTTTGTTTTCTCCCCATGCCTCTGAGCAGTCTATATCTGTTACTTTATATTGACACCTTCAAACTGGATGAGACTTGACATCCAAGAGCTTTGTAACTTCAGAGATGTGTATGATTACTGATGAGTTCTTAGAAGTCCACAACCATCTCGCAAGGGAAAGGATGGTCCATCCTTCACACACGCCCATGTTGCTGCGTGGAGGAGGAATGGTGAATTTAGATATTAGCAAAAACACGTTTGAAATAATGCAATGGGTAGATTGGATTTTAAACTGAGATTGGAATTTAAGTGTCCCGAGTGAAGAACGAGAAATGAGCATTTTAGTTTAATGTCGCCCTCTGAAGGATGGCAACTTGAAAATTGAGCATTCCCACATTGTTGAATGGACGTGTAAGCCCAGATTATGTTCGGATTCAGTCAAAGGTGCTCCCGGGACGTTTGGGCCTGTGCCTCTCCGTCTTATGCTGAGGATGACATTTCCAAATCAACAGAGCAGATTTTGGGGGAGTCGGTGCCACTGAGAGCAGAAGGAAGACTGACTTCCACTGGCTGCAGCAGTGTTAGGTGCTGTTATTTTCTGGTTGTGGGTAGCCCGCACTCTGCTCCACTGAATATAGTCCCAGTTTGTGACTGGGAACAACTGTGTGGGCTCGAGTTCATATAAATACTGGTATTTCTGGTTTGATGCAAATATGACTTTTACCCTGAAGCTTAAGTGGGACAACTCCAGAGCACTAACAACCTCGGAGTACTACAGATTTGCTTTTATTTGATAAATGTGCCAAAAGAAACATTATTAAAAACAACATGGAACTTAGAATGAGTAGATTTCCCTTTTTTTCAGATTGAAGTGTCTTATCAGCTATTGTTTAATATACTGTTGCTAGTTTTTTTGCTTCTTCAGCTCTATTATTATTTTGAAATAAACGTAAAGCTGAAATGGGAGTTGTTTTCCAAACAATTAACCACACTTTTTTTTAAAACAAACTGTTGCTTTGAAAATATGCGTGCTTTCGTTTATTACACGTTGCTTGTTTATTTCAAGCTTTTTCTTTAAGACTAATTTACCTGGAGTAAATCAGGGAAGCAATATGTATTAGACTATAGAATTTCAGTTTCAAATACTGTATTTACCTGTTACTACAGTGAAACTTGAATGAAACATGACAAGGCTCAGAAAATGCGTAGCAGCTTAGTTAGCGCCTGAACGGGAAAGACTAAATCCTGCTGAAAATTTTTTATCAGAAACCTGAACCTGCCTTTCAATTTGGATACAGTTGACGTTCTGTGCATTCACAGCATTTTCTCTTCAGATTTCCTGATTTTCAGCATTTGCAGTTTGTTTTACCTCGTCACGTATACACGTGTTACTAAAGTTCAAAGGCCGTACATTTTTTTTACAATGGATTATAAATTTGAGTGTGTGGTAGGGCATTTTAAGTCCCATTTCACGATTCCTCGTGGCAAATCCTAGGAAGAGGATTATTTTTATTTCTTAAGAGGCCATAGGTTTGAACCCAATGTCCCCTTGAGTCCCTGAAACTGGCTGGAACATTGGGTGGAGGCAGCGATGACAGACAGACTCAGGTGTGACTCAATCTAGGTTACTCTCGCAGCTTTCTCAGCAGTCGAGTAGGAGCACGCTTGTTGGTTTCCACATTCTGCCTGGTGTGGGAGAACTTGAGAGGAATGAGAGAAACTCATGTAATTAACGGGTGGGGAGGAACAATACAAAACTGGTTTTGTTCCAGAGTTTTTGCGAGGAGTCCAGGAAATGGTATTGATCGCCTTTGGCTGCGGATGAATGGTCGGATGTTTCCAGAAGCGACAATCCAAAATCAAATACTTTCGGTGGATACGTTTCAATGTTCAATATTGCAAAGGGTTAATGGTGTAGGTTGGGAGGACTTTGCTATCAAGCCGCGCAGGGATTCTCTTGCCTCTATCCTGTGGCCTACCCGCTGCTCTGTGTTTGAGCCTCCGCTTATGGAATGTAATCAATAACAACAAAATTAATCAAGGGGTAGCGCCATGGCTGTGTTTCTGCACACGACCTTCTCTTCGTTGTCCAGTGAGAGAAAGCAAAAAGCCGGTTTGCCCCCAGCAGCCACAGAGAAAATATGAAAGTTGTGTATTAAACCCATAGAACCCTCAGCTTCGATGGATATCAGTACTGCAATTCTTCCCCTTTCCTGTGCCAGAACTCGACTTGGCAAACACTCCCAATAGAATGATTCAACTCAGAAGCTTGCCACATGTGGAATCGTGGGTGCAGACTTCCTCCGTCTCTCTGTTGTGCAAGGGGTTTGCGCGTACCTGAGAGCAACCTTCAAGACTGACAGTGCTTGGATGTCGCTAGGATAAAAAGTTTGTGAGTGGCACTGACTGATGAATTCTGGAAAAGCGGCCATGCCTCCTCCAGGTTGAATACCTCTTCGACCTCAGCAAAGTAAAAAGTCTAATAGCTTTCTGTGTTGTGCCTACCGTTAGTGCTTTTCATACTCTATCTCCGATTCTCTCCTGTTTCTTCCTTTTCCCACAGCATCTGACCTTTTGCAGCTCTTCTCTCCCCTTTTCCTAACACCTGGTTGATAGAAAAGGTGTAATTTGTTTATAGGATTCAATTCCTCCGGTTGTCATTTGGGGTAAGTGAAAAGCATTGCAACAGAAAAAAGCCCTAGTCGTTTCATTGGTTGCCTGTATTTTAAGAAAAGAATGAAAAATAACTACAGCACTGACTGATGTAGAGCGAGAGAGAAACTCTGCCTTTTGTTTGTGTACAAAGCTGAGGGAAGTCTGGATTGTGAAATCAGTTAATAAAATATGGTTTGAGATCCCCGCTATAATGAAATGACTTCCTCCATCTTCTGCTGTATGGAGCCTTGTCGTCCCACTTCTACTGTTTACTTGGTTAGTTCTATGAGCGGTGCTTATGTGCAACATTGAACGAAATGATCTGTAATGTTCCTGTGTGGTGCATGCTATTTCACAATAAGTGGTTCTGAAGTTGAAAAAGAATGATATTACAAAGGATTTCAGGAGGGTTCCTTTTGGGCAGAGCTAAGCAAGATTATTTTTTGAGCAAAGAAATTAGGTTGATTGTATTTGTTTATCATTTTTTGTTGGTGATGGTTGTTTTGGGAGGAAGGTGGGAATTGCAATATGACGTTTGAAGGGAGGTCACTGTTTCTCTCTGAATGTTTTTAGTATTGTATAGGAAAATCAATAATATTTGAGTAAGTGCACTTCATGGTTCAAAACTTCAAATGCATGCAGGCTTGTTTGGCAATGTAGTCTGGTCATTAGGAGTAGTATAGATTATTCAAAGCACATGTGGTGGTTAAATTCTCTCCAACCCTTCCCCAGGGTAGGACCAAAGTTCAGCATTTACTATAAAGGAGAACCTCGCCGTGACTTTTTCCCAAAGTGGTTACCGACTCGCTGTGCACCACTGTTATGCATTTTATACGTGTAATGTTTTGCATGAAAGCACACTTAAATTCCAGGAAAACTGGGGAGATGACGAACAATTCAGTTGAATTGTATACAGCTGTGTTAATTTGAATAGTGAGTGTTTGAGGTGTGGTACACAGCTACAGGCTTGAGCAGGTTTCAGTCCCAGCGTGGTGCAAACATGCATATAAGTCTTCATATTATAAATGTCCGTCCTGGTACACTTCAATAAAGACAGGGAGTAGACTGGCGTGTCTAGTTTTATATTACAGTTGAAAATGCAGACTGCTGGCAGCAATATTCACAACGTAAATGCTCAGCAGTTTTTAGCATTTTCATATTTGCCAGTGGCTGCTTTTATGCTCCAAAAGAAAAAAGACGGAGGATATTTAACACTTACAAACAAGCAATTGTACCCAACTACAGATCTTCCTTGATTTCTATTTGGGCACAGATTTCATCCTTGTCACCGAAACACCCAGTAATGCAACAGCTTTCTCTTGCACAATGTTCTTGTTCTTTTATATCCCGGTGCGCTTCAGGGTCCTTGCAGATTTATGAAGTGCTGTAGAAACCCTTTCCAACCTAAAATGTGAAATGCAATTGATGTTTTTCAAATTGGATGCAGATGGTACTTGAATAGACTGTACTTAATGTCCAAAATCGAATTGCTCCAAATTAATACAAGCTTGAAATGTCAACCCTGTATTGCAGTGCAGATTATGAGCATTATTTTGACAACAATTTGAATCATTCTTGCCTTTTGGGTTTTTAACATGTTCTACCTTTTTTAAAAAAAAGATTATGATGGTGATTGATCAAAATGCATGGTTGAACGTTTAAAGGATCCTAATTTTACTGCACAGCAGAATTAATCTCTCTAATTGAAAGTTACTCGATGCTGAGCAGTAGGTGGTAAAAGATAACTATTTGTTCATTAGTTTTAATATCTAAATCTTTATGACTCTGTTTCCCCTTTGTATTTTTTTAAAAAAAGGGAAATCACTGCAACATTAAAACAGATGTTTAACTAAAGCTGTTCTTAAAATATTGTGCTTTGAACTAAATTCAGCAACAGAACTCTGCTTTAATATCTTGGTGGGTTTCAAATACCAATTTTGTTTTTGCAGCTAACGAACCTGGCTGAGTAGTTTGATTTAGCAGCAGAGAGAATAGTTGCAGTTTTAAGGCTAACTGCTATAATTATTATTATTTATTAACGATTTGTATTTTTCTAATTCTCACAATCCATAGGAAGGGGAATTGCATTATGTATGCATCAAACAAGTACAGCAGCCGGGGCCCTACCCTTATTCCCAGGATGAAAACTAAACACCGAATTTATTACATAGCGCTGTTTTCAATTGTACTGCTTGGACTTGTGGCCACAGGAATGTTCCAGTTCTGGCCACATACGATAGAAGCTACTACTGAATGGACAGTAGAAAAACGCAGCATTCATGATGTTCCTGAAGTCAAACTTGCAGAAGACAGCCCTATTCCTGAACGAGGAGATCTGAGCTGCAGAATGCACACTTGCTTTGATGTATACCGATGTGGGTATAACCCAAAGAACAGGATAAAGGTGTACATCTATCCACTGAAGAAATATGTTGATGAGTTTGGAGCTGTGGTCAGCAATACTATATCTAAAGAATACAATGAATTGTTGACTGCTATTTCAGAAAGTGACTTTTATACAGATGACATGAATAGAGCTTGCTTGTTTATTCCATCACTCGATGTGCTAAATCAGAATAACCTCAGGATAAAGGAAACTGCACAAGCACTCGCCCAGTTATCCAGGTAAGTTGCAAGCAGCCGTTTTTGTTCACATATTCAGTTTTTGCAGCTTATTCAGATAGTTATTCAATCTTTTCTTGTTAACGTAAGCAAAAAAATTGAGATCTGACTTTTTAAATGCTCTTTTTTAAAATTTTTGTGTATTCCATTCAACACTTGTGAATTTTCTGGTCCTATTTCACATTTTGACAATTTAGTGTGTCAGTCAAAGTCACAGCCATTAAAGACACTGAATAATTCAATTGATTTTGTAACGTCCATTTTTATATTTAAAACAAACTCAATAGGTTTCAATCAAGTTTGCAAGGAATTACTGCTCATCCGATATTGTATTTGTTTCATACAAAAATGACAAGATTACAAAGAATGTACAGCTTGGAAACAGGCCATTTGGCATAACCAGTCCATGCTGGTGTTTATACTCCATTCTTTACTCCCTCCCATACCCTTCTGTCCCCCTTTCCCTCATGTGAAGGAAGATTGAGTAAAGGGCAGCTTTGTTTACAGTAATATCTCAGAAATAGTGCACACAGATTTTCCAGCAGAGGTCACTGGATAGCTGTCAGCAGAGGAATGCTGGCTCTTTATATTTGTGTTCCTCTCCTCGCTGGCCTGTGGATCGGAGGTCAATAGTAGCGCTCTCACTCCTGACTTAACTGAGATCAACAAATTCAGCACAGCCAGAACAGAGATTAAGCTTAAGAACCTTTGTGTCCCACAGGGCTCAGTGCCATCCCACATGCCAGTTACTCCCTGAGCCAACCCCCCCACCAATGGACATGTCCCTTTTGCAGTGTTTGCGTTTATTCTGAAAAATCCTGTGATGTAAATCGACGCATGATTTTGTGTACTTGTCTCTTGTTAATACTCAGCATGGAAACTTCTTAAATTGTTTCCAGAGCTGTTTAGCCTCTACGAGATGCATCCAATTATTGTCAATTTGTGGTGGTGTCCCCACCCATTCTCGCTAGGAAATGGGTTGAGACTCCCCCACCCCAACCCATTTTCACACTGGTCCTTGCAATCAGCTGAGACTTTCATTCTTTCAATGCCTTGATTCCTTTCAAGGTGTGATCACGACCAGTGCACCAACCAGTCAATTATGAAGGCATCTTTGTAAACTTGCATTGTATTCCCATCGTGTCGCTGTACAGATTATAGTAACTTTTCAGTCATTTTGTTTTTCTCCAAATTTGCGAGTGCAACCCATGGAGGAACTGTATCATGTCATTTTCTTCCGGATAGAATCCTGTTGTATTGCAGAGAAACTGCATGTTAATGACATTAGGATGAAGGTAGAGAATTGTACTGTTGCTGTTTCTAGCTCCTTATGTCGTGCTGAAGATAGACTTGTGTAACTTTTGAACATTCCTTCCTTTGCTCCGTTATCTTGCTGTCATTGCCAAGTTGCCACTTTCTCAGTTCAGAATTTAAAACTGAGTTTAAATGGAAGTTTCGGTCTCCTCATACTGGTTACCATCTCGACAGGAAGGTGGTGGGCCACACTGTTGCTGGACCCTATATTTCTGCACTTGGCCTAGTTGCTTCAAGTTAATTTGGAGTAGGCTAGGTTAATTCTCTCTTTGTCCTATTGTTAAAATGCCAGCTCTCCATTAAGCATTTCCCCTGATTAACATTATATTAAGTTGTATGTATGTAAGCCCCATGTTGCTCGTTTCAGCTCCCCGACCTGTAACTGTCTCGCTACCTTTTCCCAAAGCTGATTTGTACAACTGCAATGTACAACTGCTTTGTGTTGTTCTCTGTGCACTTCAGTTTACTTTGTTTTAAAATAAATTGTATTCTAAAATGTGTACTTTTTTTAAAAAAAATCTGTTTTTAGGTGGAATCGAGGGATCAACCATTTACTGTTTAACATGCTGCCAGGTGGCCCTCCCGATTATAACACTGCTCTGGATGTGCCACGAGACAAGTAAGTTTCAATCAAGCGCTATGTCTAGTTTTTAAAAAAAAAGTCTTTATTTTTTTTAAAAACGGGAATGCAGAATCACTTCTTCTGGGGGAAAAATATAAAGAAGACAAGAATTATAATGGCTTCCCTGCTTGATAGAGATGGTAACATTTTTAAAAGGAGTTTTTAATTTGCGAGAATTTGTACTAGAATTGTATTTCAAAGGTCGCTCTTTCCACCAGTGTGGTGTACGCTGATCTTGTAGCTCAAAATCAAATAATTGACTTTGCTGCAGAATAATGTAATTTGCTGTCTGACTAAACACAGCCATTCGGCAGCAACAATAATCTTTTGTGCTCTAGGATTTTAAGATTTGAAACGGGTAACAATGGTGTAAAAGTATCATCGTCTTAAACACTAAGTTAGATGTTTTTATGTTTGGGGAATTTTTTTTATTGTAGACCACAAGAGGGCAGCAAGTTCCAGTTAATGTATTTGTAGAGAATACCACAGTCCTGTACGTAGACACCATAGTGGCTGGAGCAAGTTAGCTGTAAGGATAACGTAAAGAACATTTCACCCATGATATTGGGCAGTATTATAAGTTGCATTTTAAGGACTGTAGAAAAAACATAGGAATGCATGACATGTATGCTTGGGTACAAACCTCTTGACTGTCCAGGGCCTTGAGGCGTTCTTCTGACATGAAAGGCGCTACACAAATGTAATCGTTTTTGTTGTTATCATTGCGTACTCTGACAACCCTTTGAGAGAAGAAGTTCTTCTACACCTCTCTTTTTACTTCTCGTCATTATCTTGAATTCATGCTTTCTTTCCTCGAATTCCCCACCAGCAGAAAGAATTTGACAGGTTGGATTATTTGAAACGTCTTCATAACTTAAACATCTCAATCACATCACCCTCAATTCCCTCTCAGCTCTACATTATAGTTCTATTTTTTTAAATTTCTGGTATCTCCTTAAACCTATGCTGCACTCTCTCCAAGGTAGAAATATGCTTTCTGCTATTTATTGACCAAAATTTCCAGCTCTAACCCAACCAACGACTAGTACAGATTTCTTATTACCGGTTTAGTTTTGTATTCATTGGCTCAGTATGTAAACCCTTTGAATAATTATGATTTGGTTTTTCGCTCTTAAAACTACATTTTTAAGGTGCAGAAAATATTTTGTGCCAACAATTCTGGAGATTTCTACGCTGTGAAATTCCATTTGATGAACATAAAGTTTATAGAGCCGTATACAAATGATACAAATGGTCACTTGAATCTATCTGCAATGGATAGGCATTTCTAAAAAAGGACATTGTCTATTTTCTTGGCAGTAAGCATACGAGTGTGATAACCTCCTGAATCATTTGCAGGTTATGCATTTTTAGCTCTTACATGGTGAAAATGTGCATGGTAGAAATTGCCTTATCTATTTCAAGCATTGAATTACATGCACAGAATGACTGATGGGATACCACCTTAAAGCAATTTTGATATAGAATTTTTTACATTTGAATAAGGTCTTATCCCAGCTGCAATACAGTATCTGGATTACATTTTATAACTGTAAAACAAACTCCATGGTATTACCTTATAATGTTTTCCAGTCATTAAACTGTTCCATGTGGTTTCTTTCGAAATTCAGTTTAAATGTTACACATAATTTTTACAGGGCCATAAAAAATAATGGTACACTCGTTTTTGGAACATTGCCACTTGTTAAATCCAGAGTATATCAAATACCTTTTTATTTTTCCAGCATATTGGTATATATATATTGGGAGACTATTGGGTAGGTTTAATTTTTTAAATGTAGTCTTTGGTATAAAGGCCATTGTGAAGGTGTTGCCAGGGAGCAAAGCCAATTGATGATCACTGCCACTCTAACCTTTCTACCTCTCTGGTAGAAAGTTTTGCTACTTTTGCTTTACTTTATAATCCCCACATCCTTTGCCGCTTACTTTACATTAACTACAAAGTGCTTGTAATTCTACCGTTGGTCACAAAATACTATTTTTTTCAGTTTTAATATTTTTTTTGGCCTGTGACTGTTATGTCCACTGGATTAAGGTTGAGGAAACTAGTGAAAGCTACAGTGCTGATCCAAAACCGTGAGGTTAGATTTATGAGGACTGAATTTTGGATAGTTTTTTTCTCGAATTACTCAATGAGCAACAGAGAATCCCTTTGGACCGCCCAAGAACTTTCAAAGGAACATTTCAACTGGCTTTTTAATAACAGCTGGTCAGACAGATACGTGTGGAAAAGAGGCAAGGAAGTTGGATATAAAAATGGAGGGAACTGGCTCAACAGGCTGAATGGTCCAATTCCAATGTTCATAAAGTATTTAAAAAAAGATATCCCCTGATATTGGAATTCTGCTCATGTCCTTGGTTGCTTAGAACTCTCAAACCAGGTATAAATCAGTCGGATTGAATCACCCATTCCAGCCATTGAGCCTGTTGGTTACTTGCTACATCAAACGCAAGGAGTATTATTATTATTATTGACCTTTAGTCTCATTGCGGGCAGAATCTCAACTCCAAACTCTTGAGAACCAAATTTTTTGGGGGGAAATATGTGAATATTAAATTTCTGCCTTCTACATCAATACTGCAGATATGAAACCTACTCTGATGGGAATACTGTTAACTTTGTTTTAGCATTTGGCATGGAGACTTTACTGTAAGGAAGAATTGATATCCTTTCAGAGAGGGAAAACAAACTTTGGCAAAATTACAGAGAAATATGTTCTTGAAAGGTACTTTGCTTTGTTTGACCAGAATGATGTGGTCATTTCTTATTTTGCTTCCTCTGATTCTGATTGAAGTTGTGTATTCAAATCCTATTCTATCTGTACTCGGGACATTTCCCTTTCTTTCCTTTACTACTTCATTGGGGTAGTGTCAGGGTAGTGGAAATCTGGAACTCTCTTCCCATCAAAAGGATGTGGATGCTGGATCCATTCAAATTTTCAAGACTGGGATGGATAGATATTTGTTAGGTAAGGGTATCAAGGATATGGTGCACAGGCAGGTAATTGGAATTGAGATATAGATCAGCCATAATCTAATAGAATGGCGGAAGAGGCTTGAGGGGCTGAATGGACTCCTCCTGTTCCCAAGTTCCTATCACTACGTCAGATCAATGTGCTGGCTGATAAATGTTGAGGTCTGGTAATCCACAGCTACTAACAAACTTTATAGCCTGACCCTTTTCTATAATGTATTTGCTCATTTTGAAGCAATTGTAGGGTGACACATATAAGAGAGTTTTTAGCTCTGACATTTAGATTATAATCAACCTGAAGCTGCATTGAGATGTACTCCTACATTTGCTAAATGTGACTTTTCTATTCTCCAAGAAAACAGTTTCTTTGCAAATCCAATGATGTTCTGCAAGTGTAATCTTGTCAGGTTTTACTGTCAGATTTAGTCTTGACTGTTTCCAGATACAATTTTCAGTGTCAATGTGACCTGTTTCAGGAGTCAGGTTTATTTTATGATCAGTGCCTTCATCACAGTCAAAAAATCAATACTTTAATGATAATGTTATAACAATTGCTGTGTGGTATGCACACAGATTTTCATTCTAAGCAAAAGTTGGAGACATTTTTCAGTATATGCTGGTATAGTACTTAACATGTTTGTTCTGCAGTAGATTAATGGTCTACAGAATGTTTCTATGCTATTGCATCTGTTAGTAATTTTCTATTATTATGGTTGCATCTTCAGAGTGTGCCACAGTTTAAGATAAAAGGAACATCTTCAGTGGGTAACAACCAAAATATCTATTAAATGGGCAAGAGGTCACTTGATGAAACTGAGCATTTCATTCCACTTCTTGTCCACTAAGTGACTGGTAGAAAGTGATGTTCTCACAAGGTACAGCTAGTGCTAGTACTAAAAGAAGTACTAAAAACACCCTCACGGACACAGTTACTACACTTAACCCTAATTACTGTGAAGGGCTTTGAGATCTTTCAACGTGATGATGTGCAAAATCAAATGTACAAAATGTATTTGTTAATCTCATTCCACTAAAATTAAGCATGAACTGGATACAGTACAGTATCAGACATTACAGTATTACTGGATGCATCAGACATTACAGTATTTTTATATAAATTCTGTGAACAATAGTGGGACAGATTCTATCTTTATTATGTGAATAGACACTTAAAACACTTCACAAGCTGAAAGAAAATTTTTGGGCGGATCACTTTGTGATCTACCTTTTCACAAATAAACATTTTATAGTTTAACAATGGTGGCTTCTTACACAAATGTCTTGAAAGATTGTTATAGCAAGGGGTTGTATTTGGAGTTCATAATGCGCATTCATGTTGCTAAGAAGGTTTAAAACTGAAAATGTGAGTAAAAGTGAATTCCTGGTTTTAGAGGTAGTGTTAAAAAAAATACTTCACTTGATGATGGCACAGCTTTATCTGTGTTCACATGGTCTGACTACTTTGCTGCTCAACTGTTTGAAGTTCTAACTTAGTGTTTTTATGATGAGAAGCTATAAGAACTCAGGAATGCGTAGGCTCTGTTTCTGACCTGTGCAATCATTCTATTGATTGTGCCTGTCCAAATGCTTTATGTCTATGATTAGCTATTCTATTTGCAGATCGAAACTGGCACCTCTTTCAAATCAGGTTGTAATAGCAGCAAGATTCTTCCCTCTGTCTCATCCTGTGTGCATTGTTATAAAGTGTTTGTATTTAGGGAGAGGAATATAAGTGGATGTGTTGTAATGTTTGAGGCGAGAGCCAAGGATAGTGATTCAGCACCATTTGTTCTGCTTAATGCAGCTGTCTTGAACAATTCTGTTCTTTTTTTAAAAAAATTCAAGTTCATCATTGTGCAATAAAATCATTTTCCCTCGCTCATCCTCCTCACCCCTCCCCACCCACCCCCAAACACTCTGATCCTTCCTCCTCACCCCTCTTGCACAAAATTCTCAACAACTTCTTTCTCTCGCCTCCCCCTCCAATGAGTTATATATGTTTTGTGGTGAACTGCTTGTGAATAAGTTTGCACAAAATGTACTGTAGTTAACGATCAGTAATTTAGCAACGAATCCAGATTGAAATGTTAGAAGGTTCCCTCTATTGTACCCTTTCCTAAGAATTTCCCAAAGACAAACATTGAAGCACCTTAACAAATGCCACTTTAATAAAAAAAAGCACTGGCCCAAGCAGCTATAAAGTGTTACAGAATATAAAATTAATAGGACTTCAGTTCATAAATATCCTTAATCAAAGAAGGCTAAACAAATCCTGTTCTTTCATTACTTACCAAATAAATATACAGTTCAAGGAGCTTGGACAGATTTCCTTTCCAGTATTAAGTCCGCACAATTTGTTTTGATAACCTTGTGTAACTAGTCCTTACTAAAATTACTTCACATCCTTGTGAGGGTCTGAGGAATGGATTCACATTTTCTTTAATTGCCAGTGTCGGGATTTGGTAGCTGGCTTGATCATTATGAAATTACTCTCACTCTAAACAACTAGTGCTTCTGAATGTTTCACATTAGTCCTAGTTAAGACTTGCGAAGAACAGGCTTCTGTGCTAGATGTTGATACAGGACAACCCCATGATAATGTGCCTTGCTATTATGTGGTTTCACTTATAAACATGATTGGACTGCGGACACTGACGTACTTGAAAATCGAAATCCCATGTCCCACAATTTCGGAAACTGCAGCCTACAGTGCTCAATTTACAGCACTGAATAGGAAAGAAGTCTAGACTTAGGGGTATAGTATTGATTGTAGCAAGGAACCAATCTGCCTCCCTAGAATGTGATGAGTTGTCTCTTGAAACTTTCTGAGCCTATACTGGCACAGTATTGGGAGCAGTCATTGAGTTCACTGTCTTCCGTCGAGGCTAGCTTGTTTTATCAGATCATTGAACTGTCTTCATGACTCATTCTTCAAACAAGAATACTGTTGGCGAACTTGGATTTGTCTTGAGGAAATGTTTCATTGCATGGTTTGAAACCGATCCCCGCTCGGATCTGGGGGAGGAAGAGGAAAAACCATGTAGCAGATGTTTGTGTGCAGTTGAAAGTAGAGCTGGGGAGATATTGCACAGCTGAGGAGAGGTTGACACTGAAGTGGGAAAGCCTTTTCAATGGGTGATCAAGTTTTAGACAAGAGTATCCTTGCCAAGGAGCTGATTATCAATCCCTTGAAAATTTTAATTGCAGACATTTGGATGTTTATGCTCATCCCTATTAATCATCTCTTGGTAACCAACTCACATGATAACAACAGTTTTCTTTGTGGTTTTGGTTGCTGTTCATTTAACCTCTCAACTCTGGCACAGAATTAATTTTTTTGAGTTAGCAAATTGATACGTGGAGGCATCTCATCTCAACTGTCGGAAACTGATAGCTCACTTACAGAAGAGTTGAGTTTCCATTGCTTCATTAATCTTTGCTTCAAACAGTGTACATAGCAGTTATCAGAACAATCTGCACAGACACAGATTCAATCTTCAATGGAAACCCATGATTCCTAGTTTTCTGACTGATGGATCAACATCCTACCAATCTAATCCATAGCTCTTGTACAGTATCGTAAACTGATTATATAAATTTGCACTCTTTTGTGCTGATGGACATAACTAGTAAAATAGCTTAGCTTGAGTGAGTGAGTTTCATGCATCAATCGCAGAGAACAGCCTGTGTGATTTGGAAACTTGTCATTGGCTACAATTACCCTGAAGGGAGATCTCTTCTGTTCCAAGTTTCTATTTACAATATATGCAATAAAGTACATTATCACCTTGGCACTCAGCATAGTTAAATTCCTTCAAACGTACTCGCGATAGCTCCACTCCGTCAAATGCTGCACAGACATGAACATGTCCTCAAATCAACCAGAAAAGCTTGGTAGTAATATTCTTGTTGTTTTTACTCCTTTAAGGGCACTGCTTGCAGGCGGCGGCTTCTCCACCTGGACCTATCGGCAAGGCTATGATATCAGCATTCCGGTGTTCAGTCCGTTGTCAGTGGAGGTTAATCTACCTGAGAAACCTGTAGGGTAAGAGACGTGAAAGTTACCTCAGTAACGATAATTGTTGCCAACATTAATTGTTTGACTGCTGAAGGGTATAAGATTTCAAATGTACTTTGAAAATGTCAATAACCAAACTGGTATTTGGTACTTCTTGAGAGATGTTTCTTCCTGCAACATGTGCTTTATTTAGTAGGCCATATTTTCCTTTTAGAATATTATCTGCTCCTTTTCCCTCTTGCTTTCAGTTTCCATCTCTCCGCTCAACCCTTTTAAATGAACTTTGTTGTGGAGAAACTCAGATTTATACAGAAAACATTCCACTGTTCCAATTCACTTGCTGTGTAATTGAATGGAATAATGCTGCTTTTGCAGTGAAATTGTTACCAGCTTGCAGTGAAGATTGAGGGTTAACCTTCCATTGTTTGACTAATAAGAGCAGTGGAATTGACCCACAGATCATTAGAAGTCACAAAGCAGTGAATCTTTTTTTCATTTGCAGGAAACTCCCATCTCAAGAGTGCAAGCCTTTCTTGACAAAATCGTTCTGTTCAGGCTCATGAGAGATGAGAACATCTTTTAATCACTATTAGGTTGTAATAGCTTTAGGTTCGCCTTACTTTGAACTTGGGAGTCCTGTTTCTCAGTGGTTAGGGCACTTGCCTTGCAAGCAAGAGACCTGGGTCCGATTATCGGCAGGGCGAAATGTTGGGCAAGTTTCCTTACTCCACACGTCTCTGTTTACCGAGCAGTAAATAGGAACTCAGTTATTAGTTGATTGGTGAATCGCTTTTCCGGGGGTCATAATTCCTTGAAAAAAATAATAATAATAAATTGGTCACTTCAATCCACAACTACTGTTTATGGGACACTGCTGTGCGCAATTGGCTGACGCGTTTCGCCCACAAAATATACAGTCAATTCACTTTACAGCATATTCTGTGAAGCGCTTTGAGACGTCTCGAAGATGTGATAAACCGCTATATCAAATGCAAGGATTATTATTACTACTATAACTGAAATACATTTGATCAAACATCACAAAACGAGGCTTAACCTCAACTTGTTCCTTCCCGTAAAGTTCAAGTGGTGTACAACTGGATGGTACAAGTGCATCTTTTCCCACGTGCACAGTCTCTTGTGTACAAACTTGCACTATTGATTTGAGTGGCAGAAGAATGCCAGTTTCTTCATTGTCACTTAAGATGGCACAAATGATCAATATTTATATCCAGAAGTGCTTTATGTTTGTGATTCTAACCAGAAGTGCTTCACATTGCCCTGTGGGAACTCTTGCTTTAGTTTGGAAGAATAATGTTAATCCTATTTTAATATCTTTTCTGCAGTTTTAGGATGTATTTTATCTTGTCTGCACAAATGGCTATCCATTCGGAATACCGCTCTGAGCTGGAGGCAATGGAAGCAGAACATGGAGATTCCCTGCTAATCCTGGACAAATGTACCAACTTGTCAGAGGGCGTTCCTTCCACAAGGAAGCGCTGCCATAAAAATCAAGTCTTTGACTACCCACAGATCCTACAGGTATTTACTTATTGGAGGACAGAATCATCAGTTGAAATGCTGCTTTACATAACTTAGATTTCAGCTGGAGTTTTGACTTAGATCAAGCTTTTTCTGCCTGGCATTGTTTTATTATTATGACTATTTGCCAGGGATTTCAACTCTGACACTGCACAGATTATTGTTGAATCCACAATAGTTCCCAAATTGTCTCTTGATTGAAAGCAGCATGTGTCTTTGGTGACATCAGGGGAGGGAATGTCGGTCTGTGATCTGATTAGCTGTTTCTGTCTCCTGGGTTCAAGATATTCAAGAACTTGGTTTCTACTTAGTCACTTTTTTTAAAACAATTTTCAACTTGGTATCCTATAACCAATGTTATTTAAAAGTTGACTTTAATAGCTCAAAACCTACCTAATGAGTTCAGATTTGATAACTAAACGCTTGAAGGTTTACCCAGTCCATTCACACAAGCGTCCATGTCATTCGCTCGCTCAGAAAGAGCAGAAAATCAGGAATTGAGTCTCACCAGTCTGCGAATGTGAATTATTGCTACTTTGGGAAGGTTGCAATTTGACATGAGTGGGTGTCTTTGGTCCTCTTAAACATTAATGCTTGTGTATGCCAAAAGCATGTTTTGATTTTATATTGTGCAATAAGCTCTTTTAAAGGAGAGTTCTGTAAACTTCAGCTCATAGCATGGTTACCGAAATGGTTGCCTCGGTCCGCAAAGTCGAACACTACTACAAATTTTGCAAAAAGACAGATGGGAAAATAGCAGATGGAAGCGATTTGCTGTCTAGATAAGGAGGATCTTACTATGTGTGGAATTCCTCAGGTTCTCTCCTACATATGAAGATCAAACTATGTGCAGCAACTTTATCATCAGGTCAGTCCACCTTAAATAGTGGAGCTCAGCTAAGGATGTTCCCTTGGTATCCAGATGGGACCCAGTGTACTGGAGCACCTTATAATCCTTCAGTTTAAGCATGGGAATTATATCTGAAGGTGCACAAAGTGATGTAAACTTAATTTGAACTGTTGTCTTTCTGGGACAAGAAGCTTGTGACATGAAAACTACCCATTCTGCTGTCTTCAGTCAGTGCCAGCTGGGAGGATGATAAACTACATGCCTTAGTCACTGAGCGTTGCTGTCTCATTTGACAGAAGGCCAAGGAAACGGAAACAGATATTTTCTGCACAGAAGGAGGACATTTGGGCTATCGTGTCTGTGCACTGCAGCCGTTTTTTTCCAAACTGATCTTTTTCTAATAAACCTCCAGAATTTAGATCTGGTCCAGTATTCCAGTCCATATTTGTGTCTGCTTTTTAAATTGATAAAAATATTCCTTTTTTTGGCCTTCTCTGCAAATTAATCTGAAATGAAACACTGGGTCAAGCTTTTTGCCTGGCATTGTTATTTCAGGGTGGTTGGCCTCATTGCAAAAAGGGGCAACTTCAAAAATAATTTGAACACTTAACCTGCAGTTAAACATGTATACTGACATCCATAAAATAAATTAAGCTCCAGTTTGTTGCCACACTATCCCCATCATTGTTCGATCGTAAATTTGTGGATCAATGTCTTTTCATTTGGGGACTTGTGTGAGCATTGCTCAGATTTTAGAAGCTATATTTAGAAAATAAATAGCCACCCACATTTCAGAAGCTTTTCAAGTAATGTTAAACACTAGCATTATTGTTTTGAACACAATTCTTCCCTTACCTGAAGAGTTAACTGATGGAACTGCTTTGTGTGTTTGGAAGGTAGTTTTAACTGTGTACTGCGAATGTGGTTTCACACAATTGGAAACCTCCACTGAACAGCATTTTGTACAGAAAAACTTGGATTAAGACCGAGGTGGTTCTTTGTATTAGTCAGACTTGGACAGTGATTTAATAATTTAAGTAAACGCCCATTTATAGTTCAAGTAATTAGAAGGCAAACACACATGCACGAAAACCACAGGGGTATATTTTACCGACATCTGTTTTCATTCTGTGTGTTGTGTTCAGTGTGAAAATAAAATCACTGCTGTATTATTCCATGCCTTTTGGAAGTGTTTATTTTAAACCATTTGGGACAAGGTGATTTTCATATTTAGAGTGGATTGTTATTGTTCAACTCCACTTGATTCCAAAAGCTATTGTTTGAATGATTTATTGTTCCAATCATTGCTGTTCAAGTTGATTAGCAATCTAGTAGTGCATTATTGGGGTTTCACATTGTGCACACTGCACACTGAGGACTGTTAGTCTAAGAAAGTGGAAAGCACCAGTTAAATTTCTACCACTTTAACCTTTTCTAAAATTGCAGGGTGTTATTATATGGTATACTGATTGTGAGTTTCTGGTAATTGGCTACATATAATGTAGAACTTGGTGGTAATATCACAATTATTAATCCCCTGCTCACGTATTGGATGCAATCTTGCAGGCTGAGCTGTTGATGAGAGTTTATTGGGCAGTAGGAGGTCTTTTTTGTTCAAGAGAATTATATCACAGAATGCTTTGCTTATGTCCATTGGCTCAAAAAATGTGGTTTATGATATCCTCTGAGCTCCTCAATTCCTGGTTTATTGAGCTATTTCTTGTTTGGAAATTGATGGTGAATTTGTCAGGATCTTCCAGGTTCTTTGAAATCTTTTGAGGCTGCCAGATGTTGTTTCTTTTACACAGCAATAGCTTCAATAAAGCTCGAAGAAGTTTTAAGAGTAATTTTATTTGTATTGTTAACAACAGGACGCTACATTCTGCATTGTGTTACGTGGCGCACGGCTTGGGCAAGCAGCACTAAGTTAACAGCAGAAGTTTTCTAATTTATACATCCCCCGCTACGTCACTACTCTCTGGAGGTCTTTTGACAACGCCCACCAGACTTACGTCGTTTGCTTTTCCTTAATTCTACCCACAGTGTTTCCACGGCCCGATCACCCTTACTGAAATCCTTTCTTTCTGCTGCTGTAATTGTGTCTTCTATCCATATTGCCGCACACCTTCATTTCCCAATTTCCCTGTGCCTCCTGAAGATCGTCCCAAACCAAAAACAATAATAAAATTGGTCATTTTCAATCCACGACTGTTTGTGGGACATTGCTGTGCGCCATCGGCTGCCGCGTTCGCCCACAAACATACAGTCAGTTCACTTTACAGTGTGTTCTGTGAAGCGCTTTGGGACGTCCTCCCGACGTGAAAAGCGCTATATCAAATGCAAGGATTATTATTATTATAAGTGAGGTCCTTCAAGCGGGATGTATTCCTGTCATTGTTGCCGATTCTTATATCCTCCCATTTTCAGAAGTATTAGATTGGAAAAGGTATGTACTACAACAACAACAACACAATTACATTTATAGAGCGCCTTTCACGTCAGGAGGACATCCCAAAGCTCTGGACAGTCAGGGGTCGGGACCCGAGCCGTGGGGTAGATTTGGGGGAAGGGAGAGAGGTGGGAGGGCGACCGAAGGCACGATCGAAGAGAAGGGTCTTGAGACAGGAGGACGTCCCAAAGCGCCAGACAGTCAGGGGTTGGGACCCGAGCATGGGGGAGGGGTGAGGTAGAGGTGAGGGAACTACTTGTTGTTGATAATAAAAAAAGATCTATTTATCGTGAAATAAGAATGAGTAGCAAAAGGAATTATTTTGGTCTGTGAGCCCTTTGCTAACCATTTCACAGCATCTACAGTGGAACCTTTTAATTATACAGTAATGACCTTGACTGAAAATTGTACTTGGGCATTTATTTTTAAATATTCACAAAAACCTATAAGGATTTGATTGGCCAAGAACCTTGGATTTAAACCTCTCAGAAAAAATATTTTGTTTAAATTTAACTTTACATTCTGTGCCTCTGATCCGTACTGATATTTAATTCTATTGCGTCTCCCCCCACATTTGTAATTAAGTAATACAATAATATTAATAGTATTAATGCATTAATTAATTAGTATTAATAGTAATGCATTAGTAGTTTTGTCACCAAACCTGTGAAGGGCCAAAAAATAAAACATCTGTTATTTCTCAAGCCTTCAGAGGGTGGATAGATCAAAACATCTGATTGATCACTACTGAAAACAGTGCTGATGCTCAAAGTTCCTTGTGCAGTGAATTATTTCGGATGTCTTCAATGGTTTCTTTTCCTTACTTATACAGACCCCAAATTCAAATTCCCGTCACAAGCTCAAATTTATAATTATTGTGAGTTTTTTTTAATCATACCCCTTTAAGTTTGTTTGGCATTCTGCTTCAGCATTGTGGTGGAATAAAAATCTGTGATAAATCGCACAGCTTGTTCACTCTTTTCTAAATGGTCAATATAAATTTACAGGTAATTCAGGGTAGCCTCTGATGGCTCAGTGATGACACAGTCTTTTGTGGTGCTGAGCTATATAGATCATGACCATACAAGTAAAATCGCTGCTCTGTACTGAGTTACCTTGGGAAGGAGGTAAGAGTGCTATATTTATCCTCACTGTTCACTCCTGTCTTTGTTTTATTTTCCCAGAGCATCTGTGGTGATACCTGAAGACAAACTTTCTGAAATGTACAGTATTTTAAAGTCCATTCCTCAACAGCAAATTGAAGATATGCAGAGACGGGTAAGACAGTGCAAATACTTTCTGTGAAGATTATGCCCGTGAGTCTGCATGCACCACCATATTAAGGAATAAGACTATTCAGTTTATAAATTTAAACCTATTTAGTTTAAAGTCAAATTTCTTTAGCCTAATACTTGCTCAAGATTAATCACTGAAATCAATAAAGAACGCATATGCTTAAAGGGTTAAACATTGAGAACTGACATTGGAATGTATATGACTGAAAATATCCAGAGTAATTGGCTGTCTTCCTTTTAAAATAATCTGAACTGGATAATTACTCAAACTCTACTGTGACAGTAATAATAATAATAATCCTTACATTTGATATAGTGCTTTTCACGTCGGGAGGACGTCCCAAAGCGCTTCACAGAACACACTGTAAAGTGAATTGACTGTATATTTGTGGGCGAACGCGGCAGCCAATTGCGCACAGCAATGTCCCACAAACAATCGTAGATTGAAAATGACCAATTTATTATTGTTTTTGGAGGGATTATTATTAGGCTCTTAAATAAATTAAATTAAGTAGTGCTTAAATGGAAATTCTGACCGATCCATGCACAAACTGCAAATGGCATATGATGGCATCATTCGAAGATCAAATTCATATTGTCCTGAGCATGTGTGTGCACATTCAGCCTTCCTTCTCCATTAATATTTTGCATTGTACATTAAATGCTCTTGTTTATTTCTTGCTTGAATTTAATGTACATTAAACATTTATAATATTTTTTTAAAACTGTTTATGCCTGCAAACAATGAGCAATCTATTGAAACCTTCCGGGGACGTCACAGAAGAACACCGCACTTTGTGCCGCCTCCAAAATGGATCATTAACAGTTTCTTAAATGTACCTGTGGAACTACATTTTCATGCATACATTGTAATTCTTTCAAACCTTAAAATGCTGCTGAAGATTGTGCTAAAAGGGCTAAATGAAGTTTCCTCTTGAGTGCACCACTGTTCCTCTAGTGGAACCGTTCTCCACTTTGGATTATTCCTTTTTCCCTATGGATCACTAAGGAAAATAAGAACAGCTGTAACAAGCGTCTCTCTTCGTGTTTCATTTGCCAGCTGTATATTTCTAGTTGTTTGGATATCTGTGATGGTGCCATAGGCAGCTGAGCACACTGTTGAGCACTCTAGGAGCTCACCAGAGTTGAGCTGGGCCAATGATAAAGCTGCCATTCATTGACAGAAATCAGAGCTTGCATCAGTGGGAGTTCATTTGTTAGTCAGACAAGGGCACAATCTCAAGGTATAAAGAGGAATTGAGAGCATTCTCATTATTTTTAAGCAAGTGTAATGACTGATGAGAACACCTCCTACAGAAAACTGTTAAGATTGACTGACCGACTATAAACCTGTTCTAGTTTGCACTGATGTTCTATACAGATTAAGAATTAATTACAGAAGTTGGTGGTATTTGCCTGACCCTATTCTGTTTCTCTTTGATTATACTTTTGTACTTTTTTGCAATTTTAAAATGAAAATGCAACTTTTATCGTTCTCTAATTTATTGAACATTTTTTGGCATATTGTTGCTACCTTTCCTTTGGGCAGAACTGCTCTCAAAAGACTACATTATGGTGATAAGAAAAATGATCTAATTTTTGTTGTAATTGTTCTATTTTGGGTGTAAGTGCATTCCTTCGAGTTGGTTATCTTGCACCTTTCCCATTGCCTATTTGGTGTAAGGATATTGACCAGATTTGCCAGGAAAATATTACCACATCCAAATGTGAACTTCAGTAAATCATGTATTTAGCGAGTTTTTGATTTTCTTCTAAATAACAAATTTGACTTCCTGAGAATACAATCACGACAATATTAATTAATTTTTTTTAAAGGATTATTGATGCTGGTAACTGCTTCTATCACTTCAGTATGGGCTGAAGTGTTCCATATAAATAGTTCTTGAAAGTACGGAAGCATGCTCTTGATGATTTAGAGATGCACCCGATATTTGATCGTGTTCAAATCCATTCACTTCCTGACACCTCCCAACCTCTTGGACCTCCTCACTCCCCAACCCACTACCCGGCGCATCCGCTCGACTGGCACCAGCCTCCTGCTCGTCCCTCACACCCTAACCCCCCATCGGAGGTCGTGCTTTCAGCCACTACACCCCAAAACTCTGGAACACTCCCTCAATCCCTCCGCCTTGCCCCCTCTCTCCCCTCTTTCAGGTCCCGCCTAAAAACTTTCCTCTCCGACTGTGCTCACGGCCCCCTCCCCCCGGCTTGGAGTCACGCTCCACCCCTGTTAAGTGCGCTGAAATGCTACCCTGCATGGAGGGTGCTATGTAAGTCAAGTTGTTGTTGTTGTTGATTGAGGGTAACAAGTATTGATTGTACTGGTTCACGAGATGGACATAGTTAGTGTAGATGTGAAACAGCAAATGTTGGAGAGGTCCTATGACTGATGCTATTCTGGCTCTTCTCCTCGGCATTCCCATGTGTCCTGCATCTGGTGGTGTTGTATGTGTATGAATAATACATCCCTCTTGGCTTTATTGGCTTCCTTTGTTCTAGAAGACTGCATTGCCCTGTGGTCAGAAGCTTGTGCGTATTTTTAAAAAGGTTGTCTAGCAGCAGAGGTTCTTTTTCAAACGTGTAGAAATTTGAGTGCTATTTTTAGTGTCTTTACCTTGAAGTATCTACCAGTACTGACGTGTGGCTGTGCTATTAAGTAAACCCAACGACACTCCAGCCTCTGACCCACTTAAAGCAATACCTGTGGCAGTATTTTTTGGGGGTTAGCCGGGTGTCTAACACACGTAGAAACCCATCACCATGCTTAAGAGTATCCTAATTAGACTTGAGAGTTCCATTCATCCCGCCTACATATGGACGTTTCCTTATCTGGAATGGACCGTATATTCTCTCCCTGGAATTGTATATATTTATGTAAAACATAACACCGGCCTTGGTAATTGCTGGTGCTCAGGATACCAACACATGCCAATGCTGCAGTTGTTCTTGCTGGTTGGAATCTGTTGGTTTTCCTTGGACGTTAAAGAGGGTTCAGCGCTCAGAAATGGTTGGCAAGTTTTTACACGGGCATGTTTCACATGCAGAAGAGTTCAGAACCATTACATGAAAATTGCTGCGATGTAACATCATTATCCAGCATTACCCAATGACTGTATTAGAGGCTTACTGTTCAATGTGCAAACATGTGTAGCTGTGAGGCAATGTGTGTACCTTGTTTTATGTTGGTCTGGACCCATCTCAGCCTTAAGTAGGCAGTATAAAAATATGTAAAAGACTGACCGAAATCCCCTGCCCTCAATTTCTTCATTTTGTAGTGATAAAATGCAGTACAAATAAAAATTCGGCATGTACTCTGCTGGTCAGCACGTCAGGCAGGTAAGAGTGCATTTATGCCTTGCCTCCTGGCTCATAAAAGTGTCTCTCACATAAATGGGATAGATTTGAGAAAGAACAGGAGCACATATATTAGATTCATATATAAATTTGACATCTGTAGCCATAATAATTATTTATTCCATATTGGTGACTTTTGCAAAGCATTTTAAACTACTTTTCTCCCCTCCCTCTTCCGCCATGAAATCCACTGATCTGTTTTAATTTGTTTATGCACTACCTGTTTTTTTNCTCTCTAGTGCTTAGAAAGTGCCTGAATAATCCTACGTTACATCCTCCAGATCCCAAAGAGTATAGTAAACTGAACCACAATACAGTGTAGTCCTGTTATAACTCATTGATTTGTACAATACTAATAGAGTATAGATCCCCATTCACTGTGCATCTGTACAACTGACCATATGACAGCCGACTCTTGCACTAACAATGGCAGACTTCCAGCTGATTGGGCGGTCACTGATGCCGCTCTGTGTACCATACAGTAAGTGACATTGATGGCAACCTGCTGTCACAGAAGTTTGTCCATTTTTTTTCAAGTGAAAGTTGGCCAACGTGGGAAGCAAACCGTGTACAACCGACTGCAAGCGCTCCGGGATACTGCTACCCAACGTAACGGGTGCTATATAAATGCAAGTTGTTGTTGTTGGCTATTGCCATGTCGTTGTAAGATAGGTTGGGATTTTATGGACCCCAACCCCTGCTTTAAAGAGAGGCTTCACTGTATGTTAATAGCCACAAACTATAATGAGGTAACACTGAATGAAGCTCGGAATTAGAAACCAAGATTGGGCGAGGTACCAGAGGCAATGTTTACCTGACACTGGAGAGTGGCGAAAATTGGTGCAATCAAAATGTAAAAGGATTGATAAAACTAAAGGGGATATACAATATCCAAGTGGAAGTGTTTCATGTTAATGCCAATCTGTTCGTCATCCAGAACTAATTGGGAAGGACTGCTTAAAAGATGAATAGTAAGAAATTGCAAGAATTTCTGTCTTTGACTGAAAACAGACCTTGCATGTCTGCCAGGATGATGTATTGCGTCCTGACAGTACTTCATAAATCTTCAACTGGCGCTTTGGAAAATGTTTTGGTCTTAAGTCAAAGTGTAGTAGTGTAATGCATTTATTATCGAACTAAGTTAGAAGTGTCCATTTCAAAAGAGGATGAAAAATGATTGGTATCTTATCAGGCACGGGCTATTTTTACTTCCTTAGGACATCTTGAGCATTTTGTGTTTCCGCTCGCTTTGACTGTGAAACATTCAGGTTGTATATTTACTTTATTACCAAATGGGTAATTTTGCAGCAAAATTCTAACCAGAATTGAGTAAAGCTTCTGCTCATATCACATCAACAAATAACCAGATAACGTTTGTTTTTAACATTCTTTTCATAATTTGAGTGTAATCAACTAAAGTTTCCCATCAGTAAAGTACTGTTAAGTAAATCCTGTTCGTGCCCTTTAACTTAATTATATTATGCAAAAGTGGAGTGTTGGCTGTGGGGCAATAATATATTCCATGGATTAGAGCCTTTTGTTTGGAATAATTTATGTTTGCATAATGTTACACAAAAAAATCCACCAGCTGTATTTAAACCTGAACAA